AATAAAGAACAACCTAAGACTGTTTCGACCATCTGGTAAGCAAGTTCTCCAGCCTCAGTAAAATTGGGTTTCTTCTTGTCCCAGCTAAAGGTGCTGCACTCCCCTCAGGAGCCAGACTTCAGTGCTAACATCATCTATGTGTAAGTATGCCCATCCTCACCTGTTCTTACTGCATAGTAAATACCCATAACACACAATCCTACGTGAGGAAAGGCCGGGCCATTAGGAATTTAAAGCAAGACTTACTCTCTGAGAAATTAACCTATAAAAACTCAAACAAAAACTTAGAATAGAAGGAACAGTTGCAAAGCTAAAATATTTCAATGACACAAACTACTAAGACCGTATTAAGTGGTTCTTTAAAAAATACATTAATTCACACTGCATTTTTGGCAAAGCTGACATAAATGCAGTTTTGGTAGTACTGTGTCCTTTCTTTCCTACTTTTTCATTGTTCTACAATAAAATAAATGCCTTTCCCTAAGCAGTAACTTTTGGAATGTACTTTAAATAAGACAATACCGCTCTTAACACTGGAGTTCTCATACTTAAAGCATCTGATTGCAATACTCAGGAATGTGTCAATTCTGCAACAAAATATAACATTTTCCAACTCCAGTGGTGTACAAGCCTGAATGAAGAAGCTGAGTTCTTGCAAAGTGCTATTTTACAGCTTCAGGTGAAAGGGAGAAGTGTTTTAAGAAGCTGCCACCCACTATGTGCAGTTTTGGCAACCCGTTTAAGATTTAAGAGACGTTTATTTTTATCAACTCGGTATCTTCGATAGATTATGAAAATTAGCAGCTTGGAACGAGTAACAAACTTCTTAAATGTGTAATCACTTTGTCAAAAAGCAAAACAAAAATGTGATAATGAGGCTTGTGTTTGCAGTATATACCCACAGGGACATTTTAATACACTCAAAGGCTGAAACAGAACCACTGGAATAGTTCAGTAGGACTTGTAAGGACTCACAGCCTGAAGAACCAAGCAAACCCCACTAAAAGAGAATCAAGGGAGGTGGACTGTCAGTCTTGCTGAGGTTGGAACACTGCTACATTTGAGTGGCCAGGCAGACACCACTGCCAGCGATGGCAAGGGAGGCAAAGCACCCATGGCACTGCAATCTCCTTTCCAAAACAAGCACCACACCTTCTTGGTTTGACCATTTTACTCTAGAACAGTATTTCAGGCCATTTAGATACTTTGCAAGCCATCTTTAAAACTCAACACCCACACTTCTGAAAGAAATTCAACATTAAATGCCAGAAATGAGGCATTCAAGTAATTATCTGCGTTGAATATAACCAGGATAGCATTCCATTGGCAGCATACTAACACAGATCAGGCACTTTGTATTACTTTCATCCTGCTTCTAGAAGAGCTTTTTTAAAAAAATGGGACAAAATAGCCTTCATTCCCTTATATCCACATAGGCTTTATTACAAAATAAACATTTTTCTGAAAAGTAATCTCATCCAAGAACTCAAAAATCAAATTGAATTATTACCAACAAAACGTAGGTGAACAAATTTGGGTCTTGATTTTTATTTCTGTCTGCCAGGAACACTCTCTATGCAACTGCCTCCTTAGAATGCAAGGAGTCTGGCCAGTGGTGATGGATGTAAGAAATCACCGAGTAGAAATTCTGAACATAATTCCCTGCAGCAAAAGCAGGAGTGCAAAGCATCAGAGAGGCATTACTGCCCCTTGAAATAGCATTCTTGATTAACATGCCACATTCAAATCTGACTAATATTAATCAAATTACCCTCACCAACTTCAGACGTGCTCAGAGTGAGTTACGAACCCCAAATTTCCCCTGGAGCAATCTAAGTGGTGAACCACTTAGAACAATTATTCTTTCATGTTTTAAATAAACATGAATGAAAATGAAAAGTGAATTTTTAAATGAAAAGTGAGATCAGCTCCATAGAGATGTGATTTTAAATGCAACCTCTTGCAGCGCCCCACTCTGAATACTCCACTTGAAAACGACCCCCTTGTAGCTGTCTGCAATTACCAAATGATGCTCCTCACCCAGCTGGCCACATGAAGACAGCACAGGGACCTGCAGCACATCCCAGACAAAGCAGTGCACGGCTGGCTGGCTCCACGTCCCGAGCGTGGTCACGAGTGCTGATCAAACATTACCAGGAAAGCAGCACATCACATGGCTGTGCCTCATTCCACTTGTGTGCCTCACAGCTGCCACAGCCAGCCACTCTTCCCTTCCCGAGAACTGCGCTCCACAGGGAGTGTGCAGGGCAAACTTCCTGCAGTGCCCAGCACCCACACAGCACCTCTGACCCAGCCCTACTGACACAGGCGGGGATAGCCGGTCCCTTTCCCGGAGGGGCTTTACTCTACAAACACGGGCAAGCAGATGAGAGGAAAAAAATAGAGAATGCTGAAAAAGCACACAGACTTAGAAGATAAAGCATGTCTGGCTGAAAAACTGCAGAAAGACCAGCTTTCCCCCAGCACCAAGAAGCAAGAGCAGTAGCTCTGATGCAAGGCCACAGTCTCAGGCAGCTCCACTGATCCTGCACGGTTAAATCAAGGGAGAGGTTTCCCTGCTCTGCTGAACATCTTGCTTTTCCTTCTGGGACACATGGCTATGAAACACCTCCTAAACCAGACAGATTTTAGAAATTTCTGAAGTCATGTTAGAGTACAGACAGAAATAACCTCAGCACATCAACAGTGGTTTCCAGACATTAGCCAAAGGTGCTGAGGCCCCCAGAGATCCTTGCTTCTGCTACTGAGAATTCTGCAAAACTGAGTTGAATCATGTGGGAAAAGCACCCATAAAGATATTCAGGAATGTGTTTCAATACTACGAGAGGGGTACTGGGAAGATTATGAGAAGTCAGGCCTTAAATGAAAACCTCTTATGCTTCAGATTCTAATTGATCAGAAAACACTGCTTCTAATAAAACAAAAGCTATTGGCCACATACACTCCTGGTTTAGTATGACTAGTGAGCTTAGAAGACAGTTGACAAAAAAAGTCCCACAGTGCTCCATAGATATTAATGATCAGCTCTAAGCAATCAAATCCAACAATTATTTATAGACTAATCCAAATGCCTGACAGCATTCCACCACCAGGATGTTGAATTACTTCAATATTAGGTGCCTATTTCCTTTCAGTAAATGTACAGTAAATTAAATTTGTAATGCTGTGATATCAAAGCCAGTTAAATTCTCAAATATAGTCATTCTTCAAGTTCCACCCTCTCCAAGGGTGCTGTCACACCTCTGAGTTATCATGCTAGTGTTCCTCAAAGATTTTTACTCATGTTACTCTTCTAGGCGTCATTGTCTTTGCACAGCTCCTCTTCCTCTGTGCCCACACCTCATCCTATGGAAGAGAAGGCAGTTTGCAGCATTTACAACCAAGATGATTTCAGCTTTTGGCCAGCAAGGAAGAGGAAGGGATACGTTCTTCAGATCCTCCACAAGTGACTCCTAATACCACCGTACCAATGTCAGAACACCTACCCTGACAGAGACTGCTGTCAGCAGCACCACTTCTCTGAGACGTACAGAACACCTCAGCTGTTAGCTGCCTTGCAAAATAAAATACTGGCATAAAGCAGAAATTTCCTGTGCCACATTTTCAACTACAAAGCTTTTTCTCAAACAAAATTAACACCAACAGCAAATTTACAACCAGGTGTGACCTGAAGGTCTCAAGCTGAAATATGAGACAAGATGATTTAGCGTGTGAATTGCTGAGCACACCTTGCATGCTGTCATTTCACTGAAGTAACACCATCTCTTGCAGTAATTTATTGACTTCAGTTAGGAAATAGAGGGGAAAATAGCTGTTCTGGATGGCATTGGGAATGATACATCTTGAAACATCAGTAATTCCACTAGTAAATATTGTTAATTCATAGCATCTGTTAACAAGTTCCCTTACAAGAAGCAGTGTGACACAAGTTATCTATCAGAGATGTGAGAAAGAGATTAAACAGCAAACTGAACAGCCATCAGCTACAAATTATCCGCAGCAACTCTGCTATTTACACCTGGAAGCACTGGTACTCAAGATGAGACCGTTTTCTTTGATGACATCCAATGTTATCTCTAAAAAACTAAAAAAATTAACTGCTAAACAGGGACAAGAGAATCACTCCTAGGAGCTGCAAAGAGAAGCAACTGCAGATTAAAAATGAACTTCTCTCCTAACAAAAGCTGGATAGACCCGGGTGCTGCGCAACACTGGCACTGGCCCCCTCTGCAGAACAGACCCGTGGAAAGCAGTGTGTGGAAACAGGGAATTTTGACCAGAGCTAGGCCAAGCAGTGTCCAACACAAGAACATTTTGCAGACAAAAGCTGCAGAGCACCATAAAAAGCTCTCATTTCTCACTGTATAAAAGAGCTGCTGTTCTGACTGCACAGTTCAATCCTTGGCCTGAAGCAGCTACAATGTGACCCATCTGCATTCATTCTATTGCTTAGGAAAACGTCCAGGAAGCTTTGTTTGACATGCAGCAGCAACATCTGCATAAGGGACACTGAACAGAAGACAAGTCTGCAGCTGCTACCTGCATTAACTGCAAAGGGCCCAAGGGCTGCCTTCCCTTTGGAAAGCCCTCTTCAACTCCTACAGGAAAAAAATAACACTGCTGATCCTCTTTGCATTATCTGAGGATACTTTCAGGCTGCTTGCTAAGTTAATCATTGCAATCACTGACATGAACTAATGGGAGAATTAAAAACAGTTATTTGTTAGTTGGCTTAAATCTACTTTGGTAACTAGCAGAATAATATTCTGATGTGCTTTCAGGTAAGGAATCCTTGATCCAAAAGGAAAGAAATGCTATATAACTTGGTAAATGGAATAATTTCCTATTCTTTTCTCTGTCCAGAGTAACGAATCCAAGAATAAATTAGTCCCAAGCTGAAGTCCTCCTGCTGTTCAAGTCTGCTCAGCTCACCTGACTATTCCTATGCAGCTCTGAACTTCCACATACAACCCATGCAAATTCCACAGAACTAACCCATCTTTGCTCACATTGCTACTCAAATACTCTTGTGTGCACACTACTAGAAATGAGATCTTAAATACTCTTTGTCAATATTTCATTCTCTGGGCTCATTTACTCCATCTAAACAGCAAATTTGAAACACTTCTGATTTCCAAGGACACAAAATTATTTTTCTCAACTATTTTATGAGGCAATAGCTCCAGGAATTTTTATGGCTATTGTTTTGGAGGTTCATATTTTTTTCTCCACCACGCTAACCAGTGCTATTGGAACTGAAAAGAACAACTGGACACGAAGGAGCAGCCTGCATGTCAAAACATGCCTGCAGCTCATTACTGTGCACAACTGGGTTCAAGCTGTTGGCTCCTGCAAGCATCCAGCTGCAATACAGAAACTGCATTATCTTTGCATGTAGCAGTTCAGAGATAAGGGAGGGAATCAACTCCAGTACTGAAATTTGAATTCTTGTGTAAGCTTTCAGCCGTGCAGGCTCTACACTTAAATTTTTCTGATGACACATTTTCCTTTATTTAAACAAGATAATATCAAGGTTTTGGTTAATTTGGCAGGCCTCCTGCAAAACCATTGTCTGTAACCCACTAAACCCACTGCACCAATCAGCATTTGCCTTCTTTACAGAACTAACACTCCTAATTGATGAAGCCCAATGATCCGTGGTAGTTTGATTGCACAATGCCAATTGACTGTAAAGTAGGTATGTAACTAGACATTGTTAAACGCTCCTTTTCTTCACCATTCCCAAACGCCAACAAGTTTGGGCATCTTTGGCACTGTGCCAGTGTTTTAACATTGGATCTGATGTTTGCTGCACATAAACAGGGGACTACACAAAACAACACAAGTTGCCCTTTAGATCCCAGTCTAAGTGAAGCAGCTGCAAAACCCCCAATTTAATAGTTCTGCACAATGCAACATCATAAAATGAAACAAATGAGTACTTAAAATTCACATCAATTTAATTCTGCAAGTAATTTATCCGGACAGCACTTTATTCATGTCCCCACTTGACACGTTCACAGCTATTTTAAATACAAACAAGCTCAGAGAAAACACATGGTAGTATTGTTTGCTTTGACGTTGTTAGGCAACTGGAAGTTTATCAGGTTTCTACCACCAATTAGTTGCTCATTCTAACTTAGCTGAAAGCAAGATCGATGGGTCAAGTCCTCAAATAGTTTAAAGCTCAGCATATCAGGCTTTGTTGCCTCTACCAAAGAGAGCTCTGATAATTCCCACAGGGGAAACAAAAATGAAGAAAACAAGAAACCCTATAGTGTGAAGAGATTTCCCTCTGCATTTGTACTCCAGGTTTTTCAGTGAAGAAGAACCACGGTTCCTCAGACCAGTCTAAGCTCTTGCACTGGAGGAATCCATTGGCAGATGCAAAGGGAAGCATCAGGAGCCTATGTGAACTGCCCATGCTGTGCAGTGCCAACACCAGGGCAGGGCACACACCAGAGAAATCCCTTCCCAGCCCCCACCTCTATATATAACACATCAGGAGAGCTCAGGGCAGCAAAGCAGGAACTGGGGCTTGTTTGCCTTAACAGGAACCCACTGCACCAACTTAGCAGTAAACACATAGCAGTCCACAGGGCTCATCATCACATTTTCTCTCGACTTGCATAGAAGACTACAATGAATTCATAGGATATCTTGAGTTGGAAGCGACCCAGAAGGATCAGGGAGTGAACCAAAGCCTCGAAAGACCCTGAGCGAGCTGCAGAGCTCAGCATGCAGGACACCCAAGGTACTGGCCAGCTGAGCACTTCAGTGATGTCAATTCATTGTTTCATGGTTCAAGCATAACATGAAAAATAATTCTTCTTGCCCCTTGAAGTATTGGTTTAGAGGGTAATAATGTGAGATATCAACCATCTGAAGACGATAAATTCAGTCTTTCATTTCTAAATTACTGCAATAAACATGTGTAACTGAAACATGCTCATCTTTTTTAAACCCCATCTTCTACCCTCCTAGCCCCACTTTTGTTTTCATCACTACTGAACTACCTCAAATACTTTAATTTCAAATTTCTCCCAGCAAAGAGAATTCCAAGCTACAGTCTGACAGTTGGCTTACTGGGCTGGATACTTTGTAGATTACACTTCTATTTCAAGATACATTTTTAATTGCCCACTCATACCTCAATTTAATATATCTGCACTTAAGGGTCATGTGTCAACATTTCTGCTTATAGATCAACTTAGACAGTTCAAAAGGTTTAATAGGATGCAGACATGATTCCAGACTGAACAAAATTGTCCATTGATCGATAACAATGAAATTTTCTTCCTTTATCTCTTTCCTGATGATTTCCAAAATATGAAATAAAAATCTGATTTCTATCAGATAAAAAGAACATCTTTATTCTGATAGCAACTAACCACTACACATCCATGCAGTGTAAAAATTTCCATGCAGCATTTGGTTATTTGTGAACCAATACTTCAGCACATTCGAGGGTTCCAAAGGATGATCACAGAATGGCCACATTTGGCTTTCAATGCACTGGGCAAGTCTAACTTGGGCCTTGGCAGTCCAAAAGCTCCCCAACAGTTCCTTGTACAAACCTTTTGTCAGCTACACCAGTTTTTGGAAATTATACTCCATGGGCTTTACAAACCCTTCTGATAGCCCATTAAGGTTAACAGGTGTCATCTTCTCTCCAAATGGGAGAGGAAGAGTGAAGAGAGGAGCATAGGAAGGATATGAGAGAGAGAGAAGAAAAATAGTATCAAAAGCAAATACTTCAAATCTGGACTCAACTGAAGACAATTCAAATAACACAAGTACTGGACTGGATCTTGGATGTCACCCAAGGATTCAGACCACGTTGAAACATGAAGGACTTACATGGTGAAAAAGCATTCCAAGAACTGCCAACCGAAAGTGTCCTAAAGAGCAAGTTAACCTTTGATCAGCAAAGCTGTGTCTAACTCACGTTCTCTCCCTGTTAAAATTCTCTGGCTCTTCAGATGACTGCCGAGATTAGCACATCAGTAAGCAGCCAGTGGAGGGAACATGCTGAGAAGCATTCTCATTAAGGACAGAAGACTTGCTAAGGCAGCTTTGTTAAAAAGCACATCATGAACAGACACATGAAAGGAAAAGAAAAAATAATCCAACAAACCCAGCTCTAAGCTGGAAGGAATTTTGTTATTCATTTATTTTCTAATAATCATGATTCCACCAATCCTGTTGCTATCATTGAATGCATGTGGTAGCAGTAGGATAAAAATGCCTCAGAAATGTTCTAATTTATTCAAACTTTAAAAAGAAAATTTCTGGTAGACAACCTGTAAAAAAGGAAAAGCCTACAAAGCCACATCAATCATTCAGCTATAGTCAATGTAGTAGCAATAACTGGATATCAGAATCACACAGTTAAATACTTACACCGAAAATTTAGAAGTATTTACATTCCTTTCAATATAAATATTGAATAATGCATTACTCCTCTCCTCTGCTTAATAAGTTTGTTTTACGTTTGGTTGGTGCTTCTTTATGACCTATAAACATAACCTGTCCAAAGGGAAGGGAGGGAAGGTAATCACTAGCTTGGAATGAAGGACAGCCTTGGCAGAAATATTATTCAGTTCCTTCAGGTTATGTAAAAATTTTTTTAATATCCAGAAGAATATTAATCCAAAAATACAGCAGCAAGTTTAAAAGGGGTCAAGATCTCATTCTGTTTGGACAGAAAAGAACATTCCTCCTCAGAAGTATCTTCAGTTCCTCCATGGTACATGAGAACCACAGCGCTTCCCATTCACCTTCCTCTGTGAGCACTTCACAAAGGCTTTGATTCACAATGTGGGCAAAAAACATTTAAGTGTCTTGAGCAAGTTCCTCAACTGCCACTTTTTCTCTAGATGAACTCTTAATTAATTTCTGGTTTGCAACTTTGGTTTCGTTTCTTTTCCCTCCAGCAAAGGAGAACCCCTTTCTTTCCCTTCCACAACCCAAGAGCTTGTTCAGCACATTTCCTTGCACTTCTGAAATTTTCAAAACTTTTCACGTCTCATCACGTCTTGATTTGTTCAGGAAAAGATTCTATTTAACCTTATTATTTAACCTTTTCTGTCTGAACCATGTAAAAATTTATGAAGTTAGCAAGGTACTCGTCCAGAAATATTCATTTACAAGTATAAACCACACAATTATTTTATCCAAACTCACAAGTCATTCTTAGAAGTTATGCTATTACCCAGTGATCTTCTGTCATTCCAAGAGAAGTAACTGAGAAGAAGGCTGCTTCTTGGACAATGAAAAACCTGATAAACAATCTGCATGCTCTAAAATGTAAAAGCACACGAAGTGATTTACCAGGTGGAACCACTGGAGCCTTTCTTGCATTAATGCCTTTAAATCAATTTCAGCACCAATAATGGTTTTGCTTTGGGCAGAAAGACATGTTTCCTAGTTTTGCCAGAAAGGCAAGAGCAGTTAGGAAACACTTATGTAAAACAGTCAAATATTAACAGCTTTGCAAGTTTTTTAAGAGGAGTTTAAGCACAGACTGAAGAACATTCTCCACAGATTTGTACAAGTGTGCAGTAACTAATGATAACTTGCAGGCACACTTCAGTGTGGAAAGAAAAGTAGCCTGAATATTTCACGAGGAAATGACCCTAAGTTACACGAGAGAGACACTTCCATGAGAAGTGATCATTTCTGCTTTTCAGTTAGGTAGCCTTTTCAGAGACCCTTGTTATCTTTTCCGTGAGCTTCTTACTGACCATTTGAAAAGCCCGACTTGATTTGAAGGCACAGTCATCTTTTCAAAGAGTTGCTTGTGAAGAAATGATATATATAAACATATGCCAGGTAATTATAGCAGAAAAACATCCTTTCCACATTACAGTCTGCCTCCTAGAATGAATGGGTTCCTGTGAGTAATTCTGTGCAGCACAAGGCCATTTTCTATCTCCTGAAGGTCGATTCCACAGTGTCACGGCAAAGTATCATGAGCAAAGAGAAACAGCTATTATGGCTTCACAGCTTTCCAACATGTAAGTGAAAAAAAACCTCACTCTCTTTCCAACCTCGCCTCCTCTATTTGCTCTTTTCTTCTGCTGCATGTTCACAAGCCACCTCTGTCCCATGTAGACTGTAGAAATGTAGGAAGAGGGGTGAAAAAAGCCCTGAGGGCCACTGCTCACAAGGAAAAAAATATTCCTTATGAATGGAATTCTAAATGAGCAGCTTCTGAAATTTAAAGACTCAATAGCTGAATTTCCTTAGCAAAGATGCCTGCAGAAGCCTATACAAAAGTCCACCTCAGCCCTGTAAGAAGAAGGTCTGTGTTGCTAATGCCTCACCTATAAATATCTCGAGGGAAGAGCTATGAAGGAGAAGGCCTGTGCAGAGCAGCTAAGGAGCTTATCAGACAGAGATAATCCCTCTCAGGAACACACACAGACACTGGGAAAGGTGAAGAGGCAATACAAGACCCACATTTCCCAGGGAACATGTGGCACATGCAGCAGTAGCTGTGAGC